AGTCATATCTTTGGTTAATTTTATCTCTCGATGATTTATTTACTCTTTCAGATTTATTGTGAATGCAGTTGCTTCCTTAATTTCATTGTCAGTGTTCACTCCTTGAGAATAGAACATCTGTATTTGAATGCTGATCTTGTCCCTATAACTTCACTGAATTCTTCTTGAAATTTGTATTTCTTACTGAGGTAACAATGTTTTACACACTGTCGATGACTCATTCACACGAAGATTGCATGTGGTCCCTTTTCTTCCAAACCGTCATCATCCCTTGTTTCGGGTCTTTTTGAGATGGGCCATTCTCACAGGAGTGAGCTGGTGTCTCATGGAAGTTTTGACCCGCACCTCTCTGATGGTAAGTGATGACGAGCACTTTTTAATGCACTTCCTGGCCATGCATATTTTTATTTATTTATTTTTAAAGATTTTATTTTTTATACAAGAACTGGGGTACAGATCAGAGGCACGGGAGAGTGAGAGAATTCACCAGAAACAGAGCAGGTGGCAGAACAGGTAGATGGACCAAAGACACTGCTGCACCATGTGGGTTTCACCATGTATGTTTTTAAAGCATCTATTTAGTTCTTTTTAAAAATCATTTCAGCATCTTTAGTATTTTAGATGAATGTTTATTATTACTATTAATTTTTTGCTGTGACATATAATACTGTGTTGAAGTTGACAACACTATATGATTTATCGGGATAGGTTCATACCTCTTTAAATGTATGTTAGCACAGCTTACACCACTAACAACACCCCAGGCAGAATTATCTCTTTTATGAAGGTATTTGAGTGTGGTTGTCTCAAGTGTGAGCTGTGCTGTCGTGGAGAATTATCTTTAAGTGCTATTTCTGTCAAGGTTTACAGGACAATCTTGGCCAAGTAGTTTAATCTCTCTACACTTCAGTATACCACCTACAAGTGGAGGGGCAATAGTATTGGGTACCCTCATAGAACAGTTCTAAAGATGAAATGAGGTTCTGCTCATGGAGTGATTTGAGATGACACTCTTGAGCTGGATTTCTAAGAAGCAATCCTGTTCAATAGCTTGGGGTACTTTTGAAGTCTGGCAGATCTCAGTTATAGGGGAAGCACGATAATCAGTCGTTCAAAATCAACACATGGGACAATTAGACTCCAACCTTTATTTCATGCATTCAATTGACAAATAGTTACTAGAATCTACTGTGCAACACACATATTATGTCTAAGCATCATGTTATAATGAAAGCCATGTCACCGATGTCTGGGAATTCAGAGTCCAGTTGTAGAGGGAGTTATGACAGAGTTAGGCCATGTGTCTCACAGCCATTGAAGGCCAGGGAAGTTTCATTGTCAGTTCTTGTAGATGAGAAGAAACTTTGGAGACTTCAGTAGATTTTGCAGAGCTTTCATGGTGAGACAGGGGACCATACACACAATCAGGCAGACAGATCAAGGGAGAGACTTCAGCACTAAGAGGCAGAACAGCAACTCCACTCCCTAGCCCCCTTTACACACTAGGTGCCCACAGTCACGCAACAAAGACATTGCTGCCAATGTACAGCCCATGGTAGTTTGCTAGATGTCCAAATGATGAGAAACAGAACATTTCAGGTATCGGATGTGTGTTGTGTGGAAGGTGAAAAATAGCCTGATTTATTCATTTTCCTTAAATTCCACCTCATCAGGGTTTTTTCACAATATAGTCTATGTGTCATTCTTCTGCCAGTTCCCTTGACGAGGAGTGGAGGACCCAGTACTCATAACCTGCAGAAGAAATACCAACTGTAATAGAAGCTGCTCAGCCCAGGCCACATGTTTTTAGGTGTGTCCACAGGAGAGGTACAGCTTTTTTAAATCTGCAAGACAGTCACTGCTCATTAAGGTGTCATCTACCTGATGGACAAGTGCACCAAGGATGGCCTCTCCCACCGGGTCAAGTCAGCTAACACCAGCCCATGGCACAGAGTAGGGCTGTGCAGGTGACCCCAAGGAAACTCAGTGAATGTCCACTGCGACCTTCCCATGTGAAGGCAAAGTGGTCTAGACTCTCTGGTGCTGGAGCAATGGAAAAGAAAGCATTAGCTAAAGCAGCTTTGAAGTGCTATGTGCCCAGGTCATTACTCAGAGAGCACATCAATTCAGCCACTGAAAACATTGCTGCATGCAAGGGTGGAATCACTTTCTTCAACTTGGGAATGTGCTGTTATACGCCAAGAGCCATCAGGCTTCTTCAACAGCCACTCAGGCAAATTATAGAGGATGAGGGAAGCACACACATTGCCCCTCTCTCTAACTCTGCCATTGTACGGGTAATCTCTCTGTGGCCACATGGAAACAAATATGTTTAGTACTGGTCACTCATCTCGGGACTGGCAGTTGTGTGGGTGGACACTCAGCATGTACGTGCAAAATGGCCTTCCACTAATGTATCCTAAGGCAAAATTCTTCAGCTGTGGCTTCCAGACACAAACAACATTGTACATCCACATTCAGGATGTACTCCGAGTTAGCAACACATACACCTTATATTCCTTTGAGGATAATCTCCCAATTCCCAGGGGTCATGTCACTGCTGTCACCTACACTCAGGTCTCCATAGCTGTCAGGTATAAAAGAAGATATCTGAAACGTCTACGCATTCCCATATAACGGAGTACACTTGCCCCCGTATCTACTAAGTCCAAAACCCTTTGCATATTGGTTGGGAACCAGTGGACAGCAAGCTATTCATATGGCCTCTGGTCCCAACTCAAGCTCTGTGGATGTGTCCCTTGGCCCTTATCCTATCCAAAGCAAACAGGGCCTCCTCCCAGACTGGGGTTGGCAGCAAATAATCCTCCAGGCACAGGGCATGTGCCTGGGGTCTGGAGTCGCCAGCTTTTCCCTTCTCTGTAGCCTGTCTCTTTATGGGAGTGAACTGCTTGTCCTCTCGCACTTGTCTCCATAACTCTAACAAGTATGCAATGGGCCATGCATGTATCTCGGCATGACCTCCATGTGCTCTCAATGGATTCACCCGCATTTGGACATGGGTGACTTTAAGAGGCTGACTACCATAAGAGGCTTACTTGTCTTTTTTGAGACCCTTTTTGGTTGCTAGTATTCCTTGTATTTGGTTACCTGTATTCATTTCTGAGAGTATGGCTCTCAACTTCACCCAACCTGCCTACCTTGTGAAGACATCATTTATCTGACATCCCACATAGGGTGCTAGTGATACAGGGCAGTGAGGGGCACTTAAACTGGCCAAGGACAGTGCCCCAATGGTTTACTCTTCACCACCTGAGCATTTCAGGTATGGGTTGTCTGTGGTGTGGAAGGCAAAAAATAGCATGATTTTCTCACTTTCCTTACAAAATATCAATCCATTTGTTGGGTGATGAACATTATTGAAGATGGCAATTGAAGACAAAAATTGGGATAGAATGTCATTGAAGCAGAATCTTCACAGTCCCCATTGAGGAGCCAGCAAGGATAAAATCACAAGGACATAATCGCTGTTTGGAGTTGTGAGGAAATTTTGAAATACATTATTGTGAATGAACTGTGGAATATACTGGAGGAGTGAAAAGATACAATGAAACTTAACTAAATTCGGCTTTATAAGCAAGGGTAACCATCAGAAGCACTTGTACACATTAAACACATTGTTAATGTCTCACTGCATGTTTTTCAATGTGTGCAAATTAGGAGTCCTCTAGGCAGAAATTGAAAATGCTTGTACTTTTCTTCCTTGTATTTGTTGTGGCTATTTTCCTTTTGAAAGGTATAATGAGAAAATATAAGCTCACAAAATGACTCAAGCAAGGCAGAATTTTTGATTCGTGTATGATGTTGTCTATATTCTGTCCATAAAATATGCTAATGAAATAAACACATTGTGCTATGAGTTCATCCCTTTCCCCCCAAATAGGAGTCTTAGATTATTTTTCAAGTAAACACACTGTGTCATATTTTATATATCAATATCCCAATTCAATATTTCAATTAGTTTTGTTAAGAACAATACTCTCTTACACCAGTGAGAATGGCACATATTATAAAAACTAGCAACAACAAATGTTGGTGAGGATGTGGAGAAAAAGGAACTCTTCTGCACTGTTGGTGGGAGTGCAAACTGGACCAACCACTATGGAGAGCTGTGTTGAGATTTCTGGACCTATTAAACATAGAGCTTCCATATGATCCAGCAATTCCACTCCTAGGTATTTACCCAAAGGACACAGAAACATCAATTCCAAAGAACTCCTGCACCCCTATTTTTATAGCAGCACTATTTACAATAGCTAAGCTTTGGAAACAACCCAAATGCCCAAAAATAGATGACTGGATCAAGAAGATGTGGTACATATATACCATGGAATAACTCAGCATTCAAAAAAGATGAACACATGCAATTTGCAGCAACATGGATGGCGCTGGAAGGGATCATGCTCAGCGAAATAAGCCAGAAAGAAAAAGAAAAATACCGGATGGTCTCACTTAGCAGGAATCTAGAAAATAAATAAGGGACCAGGAAAATGAATAACTATAAGAAAGTGAAAATCAAAATCAACAAAAACTATGAATCAAGACACTCTTTGGGGGGTGGGGGGCAGGAGGGAAGGGATTGGGGTCAGAATGGGGGGGTTGCAATTGTATGGGGAATATAAAAATAAAATTTATTATTTAAAAAAAAGAAAAAAAAAAAGAACAATACTCTCATTTGCCTCTTGGTAATTTGATGCACCCATGTGGTTGTCATGCCACAGCAGAGAAAATATATGCAGAACAAGTGAATAAGTCAAATATGATTTAAATGTATTTTTGAAACATAGAAACACACATTTTGTGCTTTTCCTTAGCCATTCTTAGTTAGGCTTCCATTGTTGTCAGCTTTCCTCATTCTAGACAATAGACTTTAGAAAAGGTGAGGGCGTCACTTCAGGACTTAGGTGTATTGCAAATATAGGTCAATACATGAAGAAGATCGAGAGGCATGAAAGGTAATTATGCCCCACACAATGTTAAAATCATAATCCCAGAGACAATTTTATCTTTTCACCCAGCTTCTTGAATGCATTCTTGACCTCCTTGTTCCTCAGGCTGTAGACTATGGGGTTCAGCATGGGGATGACCATTGTATAAAACACAGATGCTGTTTTGTCCGTGTCCATGGAATGGCTAGAGCTGGGCTGCAAGTACATAAAGATGATCGGCCCAAAGAAGATGGTGATGGCAGTGAGGTGAGAAGCGCAGGTGGACAGAGCCTTCTGATAGCCTGCAGTTTTGCGCATCCTATAGATGGTGATAAAAATGAACATGTAGGATACAAAGATAACTGAAAGACAAAAAAATACAATTGAGGTGTCTACATAAACAGGAACCATCTCAGAAATATGCTTATCAGAACAAGACAGAGACATGACTGCTGGAACATCACAGAAAAAGTGATGGACCTTATTGGAGCTGCAGAAAGTCTGACTGAATGCTTCCCCAACATGGATGCAGGCATTGATGAAGCCCCCAGTATGGCAGAGTATAGCCAGACCCAGGCACACACCTGTGGGCATGATGGTTTGTAATGCAGGGGTTTACACACAGCTGCATAGCGGTCATAGGCCATTGCAGCCAAGAGGAATACTTCCCCAGTGGTAAAGGTTGCAAAAATGAACATCTGAGCAGCACATGCACTGTAGGAGATGACCAGGTCACCCACAAGCAACCCAGCTATGACTGTAGGGCTGACAGATGTAGAGTAACAGAAGTCTATCAGAGACAGGTTACTGAGGAAGAAGTACATGGGCGTGTGGAGACGAGAGTCCAACAGAATCAACAGGATCATCCCCAGGTTTCCGATGGCATTTATTGCATATATAAGAGTGAAGATCATTACAAATGGGATGCGTAGTTTTGTGTCTTTGGTCAGTCCTAGGAGGATGAACTGTGTTGCTTCTGTGGTGTTCTCCATGGAGGCTGTTTAGAAATCAGATGACTTACAGCAATAAGATATAAAGGAACAGAGAGTTAGATGTCAAAATTACAATGAAACATAAATGCTTATATGCCATGTTCATTATTTAATTATAGCAAGGGTATGTGTCTCAAGCATCTCTGTACCTAAAACATGACCATCAATGTATAATTTAGTGCATAAATTATCTAGAATTCTAACTTGATGAATGAGGAATTGTCATGCATCCCCTCACCAGTTTTTCATTCTTAAACCGAGACTTGAAAATTTAGTGAAAAGTCTCACTGTGCAATTCTGGAATTTTCAATGAGAGCTCAGCTTTGCTTAGACAAACTTTGGACTCTACAGCTGTGTTCACTGATTCTTCTCACCAACTTCTCAGGCTGGGTAGTCATTATTTTTCTTACATAGCCAGGCCCAAGAGAATGAGTCATTTATTCATGGTTCCACATATAGTCATTGGGAGGCCAAATTTTGTTCCTGGGTGAAGTGTTTCCCAAGTCTCATGCTCTTTCCTACATTTTAATTAATTAGATTAAACTCCTATGAACAACCCAGCCATGACTGTAGGGATGACAGTTGTAGAGTCACAGAAGTCCATCAGAGAAAGTTTATTGAGTAGAAGTATGTGTGTGTGGAGACGAGAGTCCAAAAGAATCAACAAGATCATCCCCAGGTTTCCAATGACATTTATGGCATATGTAAGAGTGAATATACAAGAGGGACTCTTAGGTTTGTGACTTTGGTCAGTCCTAGGAGGATGTACTGGGTCACATCTGTGGTGTTCTCCATGGAGGTTGTTTAGAAATCAGATGTCCTAAAGCAAGAAGAAATAAAGGAATAGAGAGTTAACTGTGGATACATTTAGGAAACCTAATGTTTATATACCTCGGTCATTGATTCATTATAGCAAGGGTGTGTATCTCAAACTTTCTGAAACTAATATGTGAACTTCAATACATAATTTAACGTATGAATTTTCTAGAATTCTAAGCTGGTGAATAAGGAATCACTGTGGATCACTTCACCTGTTTAATTCTTTAAAATGTTTGAACTGAGACTTGAAATTTAAATGTCTCCCAAGTCTGATCCTCTTTCCTACATTTCAATTAAATTAGACAAAACTCTCTTTATATTACTTATCATCTCCACTAGGCAAAACTCAGTGTTTTTATGTTTCACAGTGAAGTAGTTAAGACTCCTGTTCACAGGATGTGGTGGACTGCCCGGATTAGGGGGGCATGTGTGTGTCACCAGAGGAGAGACTCTGAGGGAAGGTTCAGTGCTGGGCTGGAACTTGGGCTCATGGAACAGCTGCTTATGGCCAATGCTGATTTGTAGTGGATTATATGAAATTTAGTCTAATCACAACATCACATTCCCCCCACTCCACTCATCCTTTGTAGGGAGCAGTGTGGTCCCCTAGCATCATCTAAATTTGTGTTAGTGGATGTTTTGATACTCCCCAGTTTCACCTCAGATTTCAAGGAAAATGTTGAAAATTTCTATGTCTGTGTCAACACATCACAGTGGCTGCCCCATGAGTTTGGCATGAATTACAGCTTTCATTAAAAGCATATTGAATATAGAAGCTTACCTTCTGCTTGAAAGCAAAGGACAGTCAATCCTGAAGAGTGTAAAAAGAATCCAGCCAGGGAAAAATGCACAGACTCTGTTGGAGAAGCTCTGCGCAGTAGTTGGCGCAGGTTCCAAGGTCTCTAGGTCATGGAAGGATGGAGGAAAAATCATTAACATGGACTCAAGTCCTGAATCTACCATGTGTTCTCTTGTGGTTTTGGACGGGTCACTTGCTTTCCCCTTATTGATAAAATAGGCATAATAACATTACCTCTTTCTTGTAGCCCACGGACGTGAGTTTGCAAGTCACAAACTAATGTCTGTAAAAAATACATTTAGGGGTTTTCATTTCAGTTATTCAGTATCATTTTAACTTGTCGTGTTTCCTTGGCATGGGTACAAGTTCGTAGAAAATCCAGAGAACACAGGAAGATCTTCGTGTGCAAACCATCAGATTCAGATGAACACATGATGTTCAGAGGTCTGGGACCAAAGTCTGGCCATTGTAAAACAAGGCTACCAAAGTTCACTGCGGGTCTGTGGTGGGTACTGAGAGTGGATTATAAAGACATGAAGTTCTCAGGGGATGTCCCCCATGTGGACACCGTGGGCATCATTCCACTTTCCAAATGATGCAATAATCAAGTTGCCTATGGTAACCACATCACATATTTTTAGGGTTTCCATACATGTTTGCATTGTTATTCCACATTTTTTTATTAACCAGTTGCAGAGAGTAGTATGCTCATGTCTTAATGTATTTCCAAGGTACCGGTCCCTGAGCTTCTTTGGAGTCAGCGCTGTCATAATTAATGACCTGCTTATTTCACATAATTTTTCCTTTGAACAATATCCTTAACTAGAGCCTCAGAATCCATAGTCTTTGAATCTGGCAATTTTCACTTAACATAATTCAGCTTAAGTCCATGCACATTGTCACCTGTATCTATAGTGCAATTTTAAATTGCAAAGTAGTATTCCTTGATGTGAACCTTTTTTCTTTTTCCTTCTTACCTCTGTTGAGAACCTTTTATATTGTTTCTAGTCTGGTGATTATAAACAAAGCTGACATAAAAGCCTGGCTGAAATCTTTGTGCAAAAATAAATTTTTCTTTCATTTGGGTTAATATCAGGGACTTGTTTTTGAAACTCTGATAAATATACTTCATTAACTAGGAATTGTAAAATTGTATGATGAATCTAAAACTTTACATTCCCAAAAGGAAACATATTCTAAACTAAACATTCACTAGGTCCTGCATTTAAAAACATTATTAATTAAAACGTTTTTCTCATATCATTGTAGTCACCATAGTTCTCCCACCACTATATTACTCATGCACCGTCACCAGCGTTTCCTTGTTCATATCCCTCTTCCTCCTCTGTATTGACTGCCCTCTATTCCTATTCCTCTCCTCTGTTGTATGCCTCATCTGTGGTCAGCTTGCTAGTTTTGACTTTTTCTTGACTTTTTTATTTCTCTGTATTTCACATATAAGTAAGATCATCTGACATTTATCTTTTTCCTTCTGTCTTATTTCAGCTAGCATAATTCCTTCCAGCTCCATTCATGTTGCCACAGATGGCATCAGTTTTCTTTTTGATTGCTGAGTAATATTCCATTGTGTAAATATTCCACAGCATTTCGATGCATTTGTCTGTGCTGAGGCATTTGGTTGTTTCTTTATCTTGGTTGCTGTAAATAGTACAGCACGAGTTACTTTCCGTGTTAAAATTTAATTTCACTTACACTTTATTTTCATTTCTGATCTTTGTGGAAGATGTCTTATTGAATACCTTTAACAATATATTTTATCATTCAATTTGCATTTCCACTATAATCATGGTTAGAAAATGTTTTCCTTTTCACAAAAGCCCATAGATCCAATCTTTCCACTGAGTTGTCTCTAAGCTCATACTCCCAAGCTGAAGTATCACAGCTTTCTCATGCTGGCGTGTGGGGTGGTTACTGGTTTGCTCCACATAAAAGGTGACTTGGCTTCAATTGTTTAAATAATGTAATCATCTAACTTCAGCTTCTCATGTGTGAGAGGGAGATAACTGCATGAGGCATCCTCCTAGGATGTCAAGATTTGCAGGTCCCATACAGACAAACCAGAGAAAGTATCTAACACACTTCAGGTGTTCTGAAATGTTCAATATTACTGTTAGTAAACATTACTGCAGTGTGGGTCACAAAATAGTGGTGTTTAAACATTACATCTGCTTCCCTACATGTGCCTGTCCATTTTTGGAACAGTGTGTCAGGTGTCAGTAGTAGAGCATGGACTTCGAAAGAATTGGCCTGTGTCATTCTGGGTGCCATGAAGCAGATCCATTACTGTCTATTATCCCTGTCCCGCTACAGTGATTGAAGAGGCTTCATGTGTGGACAGTGAAGCAGTGGATGGGGAAGCCTCATAGTGTTGGATGAGCACCCAGAGGGAGCCCTGCCCTTGGCCAGGCCCCTGGGTGATGGGCATGGAGAAGAGTCTGTGAGAAGGAATCAGCAGGGCCTGAATAAATTTCTCACACATATCAGGTCAGTTCTTGGATTCTGTAACTATTGCATGAGTCAGAACCTACTTTGATCATTTTTGGTAGAAATTAATTTGTACTTTGCATATGTAATTAGAGTAAGCGTACTACAATGAGGTATTTACCTGGATTATTTGGTGAGCCCAAATGTAATAATCAGTGTCCTTTAAAGAGAAAGGCATAACTTCATAGAAATAGAACAAGTATTGATGAAATTCATATGGAATGACCAAAAACCCCGAAGAGCCAAAGCTCTCCTGAAAAAAAAAGAAGGGAATGGAGGCATCACACTCCCAGATTTCAAACTATACTACAAAGCCATAATCATCAAAACTGCATGGTATTGGAACCAGAACAGATACAGACCAATGGAATTGAATAGAAAATCCAGAAATAAACCCACAGATTTATGGTCAACTAATCTTTGACAAAGGAGCAAAGAATATGCATTGGAGCAAAGAAAGTTTGTTCAATAAATGGTGCTGGGACAACTGGGTTGTTACATGCAAAAGAATGAAGCTTGACTACTACCTCACACCATACACAAAAACCAACTCAAAATGGATTAAAGAACTAGACAAAAAACCTGAAACCATAAAATACATAGAAGGAAATATAGGGAAAATACTACGTGATATGCACATCAAAGACTTCTTTACAGACACATCACCCAAAGCAGTGATAGTGAAGGCAACGATCAACAGCTGGGACTGCATCAAATTAAAGAGCTTCTGCACAGCAAAAGAAACAATAACAAAAACAAAGAGAAACCCCACCAACTGGGAGAACATTTTTGCACACAACACTAATGATAAAGGACTGATCACAAAAATCTGCAAAGAGTTGACGAGACTCAACAACAACAAAGAAAATAATCCAGTCAAAAAATGGGCAGAAGAGCTAAAAAGATACTCCTCTGAAGAGGAAATGCAAATTGCCAGCAGGCATATGAAAAAATGTTCAACATCACTTGTAATCAGGGAAATGGAAATCAAAACTACCATGAGATACCATCTTACACCAGTGAGAATGGCACATATTAAAAAAACTAGCAACAACTAATGTTGGTGAGGATGTGGAGAAAACGGAACTCTCCTGCACTGTTGGTGGGAGTGCAAGCTGGTCCAACCACTATGGAGAGCTGTTTGGAGATTTCTGGACCTACTAAACATAGAGCTTCCATATGATCCAGCAATTCCACTCCTAGGTATTTACCCAAAGGACAGAGAAACATCAATTCCAAAGAGCACCTGCATCCCTATGTTTATAGCAGCACTGTTTAAAATAGCTAAGCTTTGGAAACAAACGAAATGCCCAAAAATAGATGACTGGATCAAGAAGATGAGGTCCATATACACCATGGAATATTACTCAGCATTCAAAAAAGATAAACACATGCAATTTGCAGCAACATGGATGGCGCTGGAAGGGATCATGCTCAGTGAAATAAGCCAGAAAGAAAAAGAAAAAATACCGGATGGTGTCATTCATAGCAGGAATCTAGAAAACTTAAATAAAGGACCAGGAAAAAGAATAACTATAAGAAAGAAAATATCAAAATCAACAAACAACTATGAACAAGAGACACTCGATGGGTGGTGCGGGGTGGGGAAGGGAGGGATTGGGGTTAAAATAAGGGGATTGCAATTGTATGGGGAATATAAAAATAAAATTTATTTAAAAAAATAAAAAGAAAGGCATAAAAAAGCAATTAGTATGTTTCAAGGGTCCATTTTTTTATAGATCTCTGAAACATCAAGCAAATACCCTGTGAATGAAATTTGCTACAACTCTGGAAAATACTTCAAAGGCTTATGAGTGAATGTTGAGTGAAGAACATGGTGAGGCAATTGTGGAGTTCAGAGAAATACCTGTCACACTACTCAGGATCACAGGTAAAGTTGCAGACCTCAGAGACTACACCTTACAAAGAATAGTCTTTATTCTAGAAAACTTATGAAACAAAATTCTACATCTCACAACAAGAATAAGAAAAAATACCACAAACATGAAGTACTTTAAATTTATTTAAGTCTATTAAAATTGTTTTCAACATTATTCAAACTTTTCAGAGTACAATTCAGTCATATCTTTGGTTAATTTTACCTCTCGATGATTTATTTACTCTTTCAGATTTATTGTGAATGCAGTTGCTTCCTTAATTTCATTGTCAGTGTTCACTGCTTGAGAATAGAACATCTGAATTTGCATGCCGATCTTGTCCCTGTAACCTCACTGAATTCTTCTTGAAATTTGTATTTCTTACTGAGGTAACAATGTTTTACACACTGTGGTTGACTCATTCACACGAATATTGCATGTGGTCCCTTTTCTTCCAAACCCTCATCACCCCTTGTTTTGAGTCTTTTTGAGAACGGCCATTCTCACAGGGGTGAGCTGGAGTCTCATGGAAGTTTTGATCCGCACTTTCCTGATGGTAAGTGATGATGAGCACTTTTTAATGCACTACTTGACCATGCATATTTTTATTTATTTATTTTTAAAGATTTTATTTATTTATACAAGAACAGGGTATAGATCAGAGGCATGGGAGAGTGAGAGAATTCACCAGAAACAGAGCAGGGAGCAGAACAAGTAGATGGACCAAAGACACTGCTGCGCCATGTGGGTTTCACCATGTATGTTTTTAAAGCATATATTTAGTTCTTTTTAAAAATCATTTCCGCATCTTTAGTATTTTAGATGAATGTTTATTATTACTATTAATATTTTGTGGTGACATATAACACTGTGTTGAAGTTGACAACACTATATGATTTATCGGGATAGGTTCATACCTCTTTAAATGTATGTAAGCACAGCTTACACCACTAACAACACCCCAGGCAGAATTATCTCTTTTATGAAGGTATTTGAGTGTGGTTGTCTCAAGTGTGAGCTGTGCTGTCGTGGAGAACTATCTTTAAGTGCTATATCTGTCAAGGTTTACAGGATGATCTTGGCCAAGTAGTTTAATCTCTCTACACTTCAGTATACCACCTACAAGTGGAGGGGCAATAGTATTGGGTACCATCATAGAAGAGTTCTAAAGATGAAATGAGGTTCT